TATATATATATATATATATATATATATATATTAAATTATTATATTGAAAATATTATATCCAAATTAATTTGGATTATATGAGACGTGCAAGCAGGATGTTTCGCTCTTTTTTGCACCTGCCGTTGTGCTTGACATTTAATCTTATCCGCGTGACAATCCGCTTCTAAGATCAAAGTCGGAGATCGCGTGAGAAGTGTTGCATGTTGTTGTTAAGCCGCAAGCAACGTACGCTTATGATAATGACGTCGATGACGATGTTAACGACGGTAATGACGCTAATCCCAAGATCCCGTTACTATCGTATGAATAGCGGCGCGTTTTATTGAGATCGATGAGTCCAATGTTGCACACGCACCAATTTGTCTTTTACTCAAATTCGCCAAATGTTTGAAAAGAAGTGATAAGATGCAATTTGTTCAACTATTTGAAATTTTTAATAGTAATAATTTTTAATAATTCTTTTAATAATTCTTTTATACATCGTATAATTAATGAATTGTAAGTAGCTGGCTGATTAAAAATTGACCAGAAGATAGCGTGTTCCAATCGCACAGTAGTAAAGGTACATCTATACACCGTCGTAAATACGATGACGTTATCTTTCAATCATTGCTCTATTTACACATGATTAATGCATGATGCTTTAAAAACTATTATAACATTTTGTAAGCCCGATGACTTTGCGACACCACTTCTTACCTGTATACATAATGTATTAACTGCCCTAGCACGGCAATTTTTTCCTACGAAAAATTTTTCTTAATAAATCGCTTTCTGCTAACTAAGAAAATAAATTTAACCAGAGATTTATTCAAATGACAAACGAATACGGACAGAGACGGAGTGTTGATATGGAAAGAAAAGTATTCCAAGTATGTACCATATAACAAATTGTTTCATTCAGTATAATAAATTTTCATGTTCACAATAAATTAAATATTGAAAATATTTATAATTTTTATTTATAATTTTATTAATTTATATAATAAACGCGTATTTAATTCTTTTAAAATATATCGTTTTTTTAATACATTGCTGGTATATCTCATGAACTCTGTTAACTTTTTATCTACCTCTATGAAAAATGTGTTTTATCGCTCGTTCCTTTTCAAACTGGGGATTTTTCTTTCACGTACACCGTTGATTCAAAATAAGATAGAAAAGGATTGTGAGATACCGGACGATAGACGGTGCAGCGCGTTTGCGTTGAATGCATGCCTATTAATTTCACAACGACGTGTAATCGCGCGTTCCATGGATGTAAAATCCATTCCGGCGGTGGGCGCCGACCGGGAGTCGGCGGTTTCG